ATTACATTTCATAAGTTCTAGTATGTTTTGTTTGGCATTGACATTTAATTGCAGCAACTGTCTAATTTCTTCTTTGATTTCATCTATGACCTCTTGGGTTTTCAGGAGGGGATCATTTAATTTCCAAATGTTCATATAGCTTTTCTGGTTTCTTTTCCCATTGATTTCCAATTTCATTGCCCTATGGCCTGATATTATGCATGGGATAATTTTTATTCTTTGGATTTACTTAACCATGTTCTATGAGCTAGTATGTCATCTATTTTGGAGACCATCCCATACAGAGCTGAGAAAAGTGTATAGTGATGCTGTAGGGGGGAAACGAGATATTTACTAAATCTGTTCCTTCAAAAGTTTTGTTTAGATCTGACATTTATCAGTGAATATTTTTTTCTAGTTTATTTATTTGTGACAGTGAGGAATTAGGTTCCCCTACTAAAATTGTGTTGGGGTTTATTGTGTTTTTCATTTCCATTAATATTTCTTTTTATAGTTGAATCTACCTGTTTCATGCATATATACTTATGATTGTTATCTCTACCTCTTGGATTGTTCCCTTTACAAGGATATAGTGACCTTCTTTGTCTCTATTAATTAGTTTTGGTTTGAAATCTACTTTGTCTGAAACTAGATTAGCTATCACTGCTTTTTTCTTGGTTCCTGTTGCATAAAGTATTGTTTTCCTTCTTTGATTTTCAGTCTATGGATATTTTTTAGTTTAATGTGGTTCTTGTATGCAACATATTGTTCGATCTTGTTTTCTGATCCATTCTGCCAGTCTGTTTCTTTTGATGGATGAATTTTCACAGTTTAATTGATGTTTATAACTGATATGTACTGACTTTTCATTGTCATATTACTTTCCTGATGTTGGTTCCCTGTCCTTTTCCTCATTTAATTGCTTATCTTACATGGTGAATTCTTTAGTTTGGTGTTCATGGACGTGTAGTCTTTCTTTTTCTAGAATGTTCTTCAGAACATTTAGGAGTGCTGGTTTGGTGGTCAGGAATTTCTTGTTATTTTTGGTCATAGAAGTATCTTATTTAACCACTGATTTTCAAAGATCGTTTTGTGGGGTTTATCAATTTTGTTTGGAGGTTGTTTTATTTTAGGACTTAGAATTATTCACTCCATGTTGTCCATGACTTAAGGTTTTGTTGAGAAGCCTACTGTGATTCTTATGGGCCTTGCTTTATACTTGATTTGTTTCTTTTATCAAGCAGCTGTTAATATTCTACTCTTATACTGAATTTTTGGAATCTTGACTGTTTTATGCCTTGGTGTAGATTTATTTTATCATAGCTAATTGGAGTTCTGTATGACTCACAAATCTACATGTCAAATTTATTTTCCATGCTTGTGAAGTTTTCAGCCATTACTTCACTAAACAGGTAGTTTTATATCGTTTTTGCTGTGGTCTGCTTTTTTATTGACTTTGATCAATCTTATATTGTTCTTCTTTCCATCACTTTATATCTGTTGATTGATTTTTCATTGTCCCTTGTGATTTTTAAGAAATCATTCTTTTTGTGATCACTAGCTGCAATCCAGTCTTCTAGATCCGATATTCTGTCCTCACATTGGTTTATTCTGATGCATATTCTTTCTTTTATTAAATTTAAATTTAAGTAAATTTTAGGTATACAGTATAATGACATTCATCATTGGAGATTTGTACCTTTAAATAATATATCTTGATTCTTATTTTCCCCATTTCCCTGACCTCCTTTCATCCCTTCCACCACTATATATTTACAATTTTGTTTCCAATTTTTCATTTTATCATATTAATTCCATTCCCTTCTTTTCCTTTCTTCCCACTTCCCCTTTGCAATTTTTCTTACTATTTCACATTATTTATTATACATTTTGATGTGGGATCTCTTTAGACAAAAGCCTACTATCTAGAATATATAAAGAACTTAATAAAGTCAAATGTCCCAAATTTAAAGACCCAGTCCAAAAATGGGCCTCTGAAATGAATGTAAATTTCTCACACAAAGAAGGAGAAATAGCAAATAAACTTTGGTTCATTTCTGTCTATTCTTTTTCATTGATCTGTATGTCTGTTTTTATGACAAGACCTTGCTGTTTTGTTTACTATGACATTACAGTAGGCTATGAAGTCTGGTGTTGTCACTCTTCCAGCTGTTTGCTTTTACTCAGAATCTATTCTCCTAATTTAGGATCTTTCATTGTTCCATATGAATTTTAGGATAGTTTTGTATAGTTCTGCAAATAATACAGCCTTTATTCACAATCAAAAGAGAGGTTTATTTGGCTTGCAGTTTTTAGTGGATTCAGCTCAAAGTTTGGTGGTTGAAAGACAGGAATGACATGGATAGAGAACAGCTGCTCATCCTATGGCACCTAGGAAGGGAAGAGAGAGAGAGAGAGAGAGAGAGAGAGAGAGAGAGAGAGAGAGAGAATGAGGAGGCAGGGGGAAAAGATATCCTTTCCGGTCATTCCTCCTTGACTGTTTTAAACAGGCCCCCCTCATAAGAGCAAATTCAACTACAGAACTCCGCAATAGATAAATCCACTAATGACCATTACACCCCACCAAGATTCATTCAGCACACAAGGCTTTTGGGGAGCATTTTAGATCTAAAGCATAACACAAGGAAAGTACAGTAGAACATGTTTTCCACCTGTGTGTCTTTTCTCTCCTATTTCAACATATAAGTTATACTGCTTGCTCATGATTAGAGCAGCACTATTCTAATTGGCAAGTTATAGAATCAATCTGGGTGTTCATCAACAAATAGTTGCTAAAGAACATGTGGTATTGATTTACAGTAGCCAAGATACTGAATCAATCTAGATGTACAAATTGATAGACAAAACATAGTATATATACATAGTGGAATGTTCAGGTACAGGAAAATTAAATTTCTGTCATTTGTAAGAAGATGGATGTAAACATAGATCTTGTTATGGTCTGTATCTCTATATAAAATAGTATCTTTAGGTGATGATAAGAAACAAAAAAGAACAAAGTCAAATCACAATAATCCTTCTACTTCTTATTTTTGTCTTTTGAAGCATGAAGACAGCAATCATAATTGCCCTGCTTTGGGGGCTTGGTTAGAACACTGGGCCTTCTCCATGCTTCACAAGTATTCTACCACTGAGATACACCCCAGTCCAGTTTCTATTTTTCAAGTTTACTTCAGATAACTATATTAAAAAGTGGCTACTTCGAGATTCTCTTCCAGACAACTAGGAGAGTTTGGAGGGATGTGTGGAAACATGTAGCAGTGTTTGGTCAGGAATGCGATGACTTTTGTGAGTCATCGAGAGATCATGAAAGCTGAAGAGAACAGGAAGCCTGAATATGCCCCATAATAGATGATATTGATATTCACTCATGGCCCCATTAATGGTTGAGACTAAATTTAGAATAGTGGAATATTTAATTTAGTGAAATGGAAGATGTCATATTTGTAAGTAGCACTGAAAATTTTCAAGCAGAAACTCATAAATAATAAAGCATAAATGCTACTAAGCAATCCTTCACCCAGGTTAACAAACCTTCTTACCCATGAATAAGAATCTTGAAGATATTAATGGATCAGTTTACAGCATAAAAATAAATCATTTTCATTTTTTATTGGTACGTGTTTGCCATACCTAAAATTTATATTCATTTTGAGTTCCTTTTCCCTGTACTATCCTTCTATCCCCAGCCTAACTCTCTGACACATTTTCCCCAAAAGTTAGGCTTTTGTTTACTACCATCTCTCCTTTGTTTTACTTGTTTTTAGTTAAGAAAATTTCATTTGTATTAGTATATGTGATGCATATCATTTTCATCATGGAAATTCGTAAAAATCTGTATAGAAGTACATGTATCATTTTGATCCTTTTTAAAATTTTCCTTCCCCCATCCTGATTCCCTCCTTCCTCCTTCCCATTATCTATTTATTATGTATCTTTTACTTGCTAAAGTATTTTACTCTTTAATTTATTTGTATTTTGGTTTACTCATATAAGAGATACCAGGTGACATTTTATTTTATGCATGTGATTTATTCCACTTAACATTATAGTTTTAAGATCCATTCACTTCTCTGCAAATGACTCAAAATCATTCTTCTTTATGGCTGAATCAAATTTCATTGTATATGTCTAATACTTTTTATGCATTCATAGAATTCTTTTCCACAATAATGCAATGCATGTTTTCAAATTTGATTAACTACACTTAGGTTCATCTTGGATACAAAGACCATGTCAATTTAATTTGCACCTTCAAATTTATCTTTTCTCATGTAATCCAGTTGGAAAAAATTTTATTAATGTATTTTTTATTAGTAGATGTTTGCAGTACATAATGATGACTTTTATCATTGGGAGTTTGTACATATGCATAATACATCGTCATTTTTTGTTCCCTTCCCCTGCTATCCCTCTCTGTTCCCTCCAACTCTCAATGCCTTTCCCATTTTCACATTTTGAAAATCACATTTACATGTGATGATTGCAGGCACTGTGGATAATAAGCTAATAAAAAAGACATAATACTGCTGGGAAGAATGAAACCTAAAGATATTCAAGATTTTAAAATACATTTTATGAAATAGCAGTTAGATTTCAATACTTCCTCTATAAAATTACATAAATAGGCCTAGTTTCCACTCTAGTTTTCTCCTTGAGAGTAGTAAAACTCATGAATATGTAAAACCAAAACAATAACAGAAATATTATTTGGTAAGATATGTCATTTGAGAAAAAATTATTCTTGAGAAATATGGGTTGATCCATGACTTAAGAGGAAATTTCAAATATTTAAGATAGCAAGTTAGGAAAGTTTGAGGGAGTAGGGAAAGTTCAAAGGGAAGATCTGCTGTATAGCAGAGAGAGCCAAAATTTTAATATAGCAAGTTAATTAAATGGTATATAGAAGTTAAAATGAAAGAAACAGAAATTTCCAAAAATAAATAGAAGGGAGAAGTTTTAGTTTTATAATTGGATTAAGGTATCACAGTTTCTGGTTCTCAGGCTTTGAGCCTGGTAAGCATTGGCATTTTGTTCAGTTCCAGGCAAAACAACCTTTCCATAGTTGCCCTCTTAAAAATTATTTTAAGAGCAGTCTTGATGTCTTTATTCCTTAGACTGTAGATGAAAGGGTTTAGCATGGGTGTTACCACAGTGTACATCACTGAGACTGTTGCAGATGAGTGTGAGTTTTGGGTGACAGCAGAACTAAGGTACACACCTATCCCAGTGCCATAAAATAAGGAGACCACTGAGAGGTGAGATGCACGATAGAAAATGCTTTATATATCCCCTGAGCTGATGAGATTGCACATATGGAAGAAACTATTTTAGAGTAAGAGTAAAGGACACCAGCAAGAGGACCTACACCAGGCAGCACAGTTGTAAAATACATCAATACTTCATTGGAAAATGTGTCAGAACAAGCGCAGTGGATCACCTGATAAAGTTTACAGAAGAAATGTGGGATTTCTAGGTCAATGCAAAAGGTCAGCTGCAGCACCATTAAGATTTGTAACATGGCCTTTAGGGCACCCATGATCCAGCATGCTAGAACCAGTAACACACAGAGCCAGGGATTCATGATGATCATGTAATGCAGAGGGTGGCAGATGGTTACAAAGTGGTCATAGGACATCACAGTCAACAGTAATATGTCCAGTATTATAAAGATTAAAAATAAATATATTTGGGTGATGCAGCTTTTATATGTTATGACTTTGCTCTGTGCCTGGATATTCACCAGCATCTTTGGTATAGTGGTGGAGGTGAAACCTATGTCCATGAAGGACAGGTTGGAGAGGAAGAAGTACATGGGGGTGTGCAGATGGGTGTCTGAGACTGTGGCCAGTATGAAGAGCAGGTTCCCTACCACGGTAATCACATACATGGAGAGGAAAATTGTAAAGACAGAGGATTGCTGTTCTGGATCTTCTGACAATCCTAGAAGATAAAATTCTAAAATATGAGTGTCATTCCTTGGTTCCATATGGTTGATGTCATCTTGAGAGACAAAATAGAGAGAGTAAGAGACAGAGACAAAGACAGAGACAGAGGCAGACAGAGAAAGAGGTGTTAGGGAGACAGGACACATGTTTGCATTAGTAACTCTACTGAACTGCTATCATTTACATTCTGCAGTCAATACATTATTTTTACACTTCTTATATGTACATGCTAATTGCTTTCAAGATCATTTTTCATTAGAGATTCATTTCCAATGCTTTGGAGGTCCACAACAGATCAAGAGTTCTATAACTATAATGATAAATTTTGGGGTATATTTGAAGATTATAGATTGAAAGTAAGGCTTGTTACAAGAACTGCCTAGGTGATATGTTATCAGTGGAGAAAAACAAATTTACATATATTTAACAATGGAGAAATAATACAAACTTTACTTTAAAAATACATTATACTTATAAAATATAGGATAATAGCAAATGCATGGGGAAAAGGAAAATAAACACACAGTGGCTGAGGTTGTTCTTACTTTAAAAACACAGCTTCAGGCAAGACCAGGAAAACAGGGTAGCATTTGAACAAAGATCTCAAAGAAGATGGGGTGAATGCTACAAGGTTCTCTGGAAAGGTAAGTCTGGCAGGAGGAATAGTCAGTGTGGAGACCCTGGGAATGGACATCTTTCAGATGTTCTAGGCCCACAAAATGCCAGTGCATCAGCAAGAATAAGCAAGACTGCAATGCATGACTCAGACACAGAAAGTGGAAATTTTGATTTCCTACAAGCTGAGAGGACAGTGGTCATGACCATCAGCTGGGAAGGGGACAGAAAAGAGGAGGAGGGTGGGGCTCTACTAATGCACACACAAATGCAGTCAGAAAGCAGGATTAAGTTCTAGTCCTCTAGTACACTTGTGTGATGTGATTGCAAATAAAAATAATTTTATTGTGGAAGAGGAGAGGATTTTTGAATGCTAATTGAAAGAAATATATATTTTTTGTACTGGGGATTGAACTTGGGGAACTTGCATTTGCAAGGAAGTTGCCAGAACCACTGAGGTAAAGCCCTGGCACAAGAAATAAATTTTTTTTAAGGAGATGAATGTACTAATCAACCCACTGGATCCTCACTCATCTTGCAAATGTACTAAAATATCACATTTTCATCCCCAAACATGTCTAATTAATATGTCAATTAAAATAAAAAATTAAAATTTCTCATTGGAATTACATCTGCATCATATTTTTCTTATATATTACATACTATAAGATGCAATCAAACATTTATTAGGAGAGAAATTATGTATAGATGCTAATATCACAGTTCAAAAATGTCATCCCCATTAATTATACTTGTTTTAACACACAATAATAGTTAAATAGAGACTAAATTTTTGAACTGTAAAATGTGAGGATAATCATAGCATCTTGTAGGAATAAACTTAGGGAAGGCTTAATAACTTTAATTTTAAAAGAGGAGTGGGAAGAAAGTTAATGTAACAAAGTATTAAAAATTCTGTGCACTTTTCTATAGGAAATGAAATACATATAGCAATGGGACACCATCTACGTTTATGACATCATCATTCAAAGTATCAAAGACATGAAACTCACCTAGGTGCCCACCTGGGATGAAGAGATAATGAAAATATAACATATGAATACAATGGAATAGAATTCAGACATAAAGAAGAATGAGATTGTGTCACTTGCAGAAACATGGATGGAACTGAAGGACATTGTACTCAAAGAAATAAACCACATAGGGAATAATACATACTACATGTTCTCATACATGGTAGCTAGAAAAATCAATGTCATGGAATCAGAGAATGTAATAGTTTTCACTAGAGAGAAGGAAGGAAAGAAGAGAAGTGTAGAGAAGTGAAAGGTTAAATAACAGGTACTTAAACAGAGTCAGATAGATGAAATTGGTTCAGGTGTTCTACATAACATTAGGGTAACTATAGTATACAACAATCTGTAATATATTTCAAAATTACTGGAAAATAATTCTGAAGCTGTCAAACTAATAGAAATAAGAAATATTTGAGCAGATTGAAACACTAATTACCATGACTAGGTCACTCCACTTTGCATACATGTATCAAATGATCATACTTCACTGCATAACTAGGCATGGAGTGTAAATTAAAATACATTGAAAAAAATGTTGATGCATAAGTGGCCTTATTGCCACTGAAACATCAAGACTAAAAGTTTCCCTCTGTCCAAAGTTTTTCTTTTGGTCTTCATTAAGTTGGCTGCAAGATTTCACTCCAGTTAAAATGGAATTACTTTTTGTATGTGTTTTTTTAAAGTTCTGGTTTCTATATTATGAATTCTTATTTAGAGTTCAGAAGTCCTTTGATTTATGATAGGGTTATGTCCTGATTAGCCCATGAATTGAGGTTATCATAAGTAAAAAATGCACTTAACACTTATAACCTACGGAGAATCCTGACTTAGTAACAGAGTGCACCATAGACCCTCAGGTTGTTTCCCCTTGTGATGGTGTGGCCCACTACAAGTTGTGACTTCCCCAAATGTATCCAGTACTGAGAGAATGGTAGCACACACAGTATTACTAGTCCGAGAAAAGGAAGAAACAGTCAAAGAACAATTACTTTGGAATCGTTTCTAATAAATTCTAATGATTTCTAATAAATTCATAAGTTTAAGAATCATAAATTTGGGGTCTAATATTACACCTAAGTATCCTTACTCTGGAAATGCACTCACTCCTAGAAGAACACACACATACAAATGGAGCAAAATGTGTTAATAAGCTTATCTTACCTTCAATAAAATTCATAGCAAGAAATTGATACAAGGCAAGTTTTTACTATCAGATTAACTTTCCCCAAATAATATAAAAATACCACCTAGAAATTTCAGTTAGTCAATCTCTTGTCATGTGCAACTCTGTGGCCTAATTTTCATATCTAGAATATCTTGTTGCATTTAAAGAAACAATAAATATTCTCAGTAAACACAGTGAGAGGTTTTACATGGAGCTAAGTGGAAAATGTTCTAATAAGCACAAGGGGTCCCTGAGAAATACTAGAAGAGAACAGGCTTCCATCTATCTCGTGGAATTTCAGGTCCCACCTTGATGCTCAACAAAAATAATGAATGATCAAAAATATACTCATCCAAAAGACAAAATAAGGACTTTTTTTTCCTTGAAGCAACATTCAGAGTGAACACTGCAAAACAAAGAAGAAACTAAGATTGGAAAATATTCAACAATTCAGAAAAGGGAATATAACAAGGAGAACAAAATATTCTTTGGGATATTTTCAAGAGATAGCAGAAAAGTTGTCTTCCTGTGGCTGTGCTACATATATTTGACTGATGGGTTATCTTACGACTTATTATTGGATGAAAAAGACTGCTTTCTTATTTTTCTTCTGTGGTTTATTCTTTGTTACCTCAGGATTCATATACTCAGGTACTCTTTCTTCAAAAGCGGACCCATTCCTAAAAGTTAACAGAATCAATTCTAAAATATTTTTAGAAAGCTGTATTAAAAGTATTCAGATGAGTAAATTATTTTGAAGTAAGATACAAATTTGGAAGGAGGTAAACATATTTAACTAAGTGAAAATTAATACATTTAACCCTGAATTCACTACGGTCCTCTGCTCTACCAACTGAGTTATCGAAGGGCTGGGGATTTAGCTCAGTGGTTTTGCCACCTGCTACACAAGCACAAAGACCCAAGTTCAATCCCCAGTACCAAAAAACCCCAAATAAACAAAAAACATTTTATGGGCAAAAATGCTCTCTGAAAAACTGACACACAATACTCTAAAATTCACTTGATATTCCTAGAGCTATAAAAATGACCAATGTAATATGAAATAACATAAAAAGTATAAATGTTAAATATAATGAAGTCAGTGATGTCATTAAACATTACCGCAGTTGATGGGAGCAACTTCCTTAAGGAACTATTGAGCAAGAAGTCAAGGGGATGAAAACTGGAAAAGAAGACTACACTGAACATAAAAGGCATTTACAGTGTACGTAGGATACTGTCCAAGTATCTACATAAAAAGTGCATGATTAGAAGTTTGTGTGTAATACATAAAGAGAAATTTTGAGCAAATCTATAAATATAAGGGACAAAATTTGACAGAAAATGTAATTAAGCAAATGTAATTAAGCTCATACTTTCAAAAACTATATGAAATAAAATTGAATAAAAATCTACCTT